TGCATTGAACGTGGCGACTGGTCTTTGATTTAACAAGATCTTGTCTCTGAATGGCCGACATCGGCGCGGGCGTCACATTGCAAAGCTTATGGCAGCAATGCGGATTGGATGACCACATCGCCTCTAGATTCCGACGATCTGATCTTTTACGTCCTTCATTTTGTCTTGTCCGGTGAGCTTTTAGTCAGTCTTGATGGCCAGATCATTGCGCAGTGGGCTGCATCATTGCGCCAAATACACCTATTGTCCGTGCTCCACGAGTACTGAATACTGCTAACGCACCGGTCACGGTCACCTGGATCGAATAATGTTTACCAGTCGGAGAACCGGAACTCCCCCTTTCGTCTTTACCCTCTCACCGACATTGCGGATGACTGGGCCTACCTCCTCTCCGTCAAGTATGCTGCAGACGACATGTTGCGACTTTGTAACCCCTGAGAGAAACGCACTCGCATGATCCAACATCTTTTCTGCGCTTTGTTGTTTGTTACGGAGATTGCAGCCCTTACCGGGTATGGGATACAGCTAGGACGGACACTGTAGAAGCTGATGGGTTATACTGTTTTGCTGCACATCACGAGTGGCTTCAGGCTGGTCTATTCCTCAACTTGTGATCACCTCGTCGACTTGTGGTTTCTCGCGTGCTATTGCTCTACAGCGTAAATGTAATCACCAGGGAAATCGTAATGCTCTCAATAGTAGGTGTGGTAACCAAATAATTATCTACCCTGCCTACCTATGATCTGCAAATGACCGACACTATCCTCGTTGGGGACTTTAATTGCGTGAGAAGTCCAGCGATCGATCGCTATGGACAGCATCGGTCAACCCGTATCAAAATATCATCATTGGACAGTCTGATGACCTCTTCCGGGTTGTCGGATGCACGCATGCTATGAGATCATGCAGATAACGATACTTCGGTTGACTTTTCTGACCACTTTACATTATAGAAGGTGACCGAGCGAGCCGCATCGCACCATTATGTACCATCGTATTGGGTCGACCGAGTGTCGACCCGAGCGCATCCTCGAATGCCAAATCATTATGAGGTTGTCCCTCACCACAGCATAACGATAAGAGACCTCTGCACTACCCATCTTCAGATGACGTATCCTATTCAAACTTATGAGTATAACCGATTCATCGGGGAAGTCGTAAACAATTTGGACGGCATAGAAGTAGTCCAAACGGTATTGACGGTCAATTGGGATATAGATGTTTCTGATTGTGTCAGGTGTGATCTCCGTATCATCAAACGCAACTAATAGAGATAATCCAGGCTTCGCCAGAGAATCCGAAAATGCACACAACGAATTTCATTTTCACGGTCGCAGTAGTTCGAGTGTAATAGGTAAAATCCTGGCAAGAACATTCCTGCGTCTCATCAACCGGCTCGAACTTCCTTCAATTCATTTACGTAGATATCTTACGTGGTATCCATTTGGGAGCGGCAACAAGCTGTCATAGCTATTAATCAGCTGCGCGGGCCTCAATTTACAAGCCATTTGCCTATCGCTGAAATCTTTGACTCTGGATGTTCATCGATTATAAATTCAAGCCATCGAACACCACCTCTTGCGGATGAACCCGCGGATGTCAAGCGATTTGGGCAGATTGCCAGTATGCGCTTGTTGTCAGTAGAAGATAATTGGAAGCATCTATCCCGGTTACCGAGGCAAAAGTTTTCACTCCTGTTTCGATTCCCACCTGCCACATAGCCGCTGGTTCAGACGGGTAGAATAACGACTTCTACAAGGGTTTGACAGATCCATTTCTCACAGAAATTGTAACCATCAGCAACCACATTTCTGCTTCCTATATAAACCTTTGCACAAGAAGAGGGGCTCATCGGATGCGACGAGCTACCGGCTCATCTCTACAATAAAAATATAAGGTTCTCGCGAATGTGGTAGAAACGAATTTGAAACAGGTTCTATTTAGCGCCATTGTTCAGTCACAGCATGAAATCATGCACGGGAAAAAGATGTTGAAACTGGCGATTGTAATGGTATCCTAACTGGCTACTATACGCCATGACGAGACACGGGAGATCTGGATCGCCGTAATATCCGATTACTTGAATTTCGTAAGGCGAAAAGCACGGCGTACCGCGAACTTATGCATAAGTCTCTTCGAATTTTTGGTTATAGTGAGCGGTACATTTTTCTTGTAGAACGGCTACATTATAGCACTACAGTGTCTTTTATCTTTGATGAAAAAGATCAAAGCTCATTTCTGATTATTCGGGTATTCTCCAAGGATACCGGCTATCCCCCTCTTTCTTCTCCTTGCTGTGGAGCTACTCGGTGTCGATATCCAGCAATGGATTACTTGCATGAGCTGCCTGTTCCGGGCAGCAGTGCGGACACACACAATTTTAGCCTTTGTCGATCAATCTACCCTTTTCCTCATAAAAGCCAACCAATACTCCAAATCTCAGCATTGTGACTTGCTTCGGTGGTCTGACCGGAATTTACACCGAACCATCTTGAAGCAAATTGTTTTGTCTATATAATGGAGTGCGGCTTACCGTACCGAGTATTAGGTATTATAGTCCTCCTGTCGGGAGAGAACTACGCGCTATCTCGGCTTGAAGTCGAGTTCGGAAATCTCGTGCATCTCAATTGGGCGCTTCGCATTCGATAGCTTCGGCGGTGTTTGTTCACTGCGTCGAATATTGCTACAAGTGTGGATAATCGAAGGCTACTTCTTAGTTTATTCACATTACCCTCCATCCTGCTTCCGGCTACAGTTTTTCAAGATCCCAGACGGGGAACAAAGGCTATTCACAATCTGAATGAATGATTTTATGGGCACCCGCGACCACTAACGAATAAAGTCGGCACAAGATAAGTCCTGAATTAATCTACACGTCGAAAAAATCTGGTGGCGTCGGTCTTGCCTTGGTCGCGGTGACTGTAAATATACAACGGCCAAATACGCGGTTCGCTGTCTCACACAAGCACACGACAAGTTTTGTGGAGTTTAGAGTTCGTGAGCGTATCACAGCAGTTTTTGTACGCAGTGGAAACATGTTAAAGTAGTACAGGAAATCGAATGAAGGCTGCAAATCATTTTTTTCGTTCTTTTCTAGGCTAAGCCGAATATCGATCACTTTTCAATATGATTACGTCTTTTCGATAGCAATTCCAATATTTCTCTAACCTGAATGATATCATTCTGCCCCATCACAACAGGACCAAACCGCCTCTCAGAAGCACTTCTTACGAATCTGAGCAGCTTTTACCTGCATCTTTATCGCTTCGAAACGGGGCTCCCTCGTACTGATACAGTGCAGGCCACCTACACTGACAAAATGTAGGCAGGTGCTCGCACCCTCACGTACACTGCATGTGCAAAGAATAGATATTGCTTGAAACGTGCACGTTTAAAAGAAGGAAAAAGATTGTCTATAAACTAAAGTAATAATATTTGACCCCCACTGATTTTGCTTAGCTATATTTAACTACAAACCTCAATGTAGCTACCCGCTCACCGCCCATTGCACGCGTCTATTAGCAATTGGTGGTTATTTTGGTTGAATTTATGGCCTATAGCATCCAAAAAGGGGAGCGGTGGCAATAGTAGCTTAGAAGACAGTATCTTTCATAATCTACTTTGCATCGTGATATTTGTGAGAATTGTTAATCACGATAATATCTGATTGACCCAATTTGGTGTAGGGAAACATGCTTTAATATGTCGTCCGGAATAGGCTTTACAATAGCATCCACTAGGGAGCAAGGATGTCATCATTGCGCGCAAAAAAGTTCCCGATCAACGCACATGCATGTTACAGGTCTCCACAAAGGCTTCCCATTAACACATGGAATTCTCGGCGATCATGAAGACGCTCTCCAATAACCTCTCAAGCGTCAGACAGGTATGGTTGTTCGCACCAAACGTTTCCTTTTTCGTGCAATTCTATTAGTATTACTGCTGTAGAGACCCCACATGCCGCGTACTTTGTCGTCAACGACCATCACGTCGCCTGTGAAGACACATATGGCGTACGGGGTAAAAAGGCGCGTTGCGTTGTCTCGGTTGTTTTTGGATTTGTCAATGGCATTTCATTTACGTTATACCGGCCGCTGCAACAATGCCATTGTTAGGGTATTGCTGGTCAATAACGTTCCTCAACGTACAACACCTTTCACAACAACAACAATGCAATTGTTACGAAACGGACGTGGCGGGCACGCGGCTTTGTTTTGTAAAAGTAGCCCATCTAGTTTTCCCAGAAAGACCATATTTACAAAACAGGAGGAATACACAGCACTAAATAGGACGAATTCAAAAAATATGTGCCACTTTATGAGAACATAGCAAACCGCACCTGATCCTCACACAATCAAGTTAGTGCACCAAATAAATGAGGAGTATGTGGACTGCATCTAGTTCTCGGTGATAGTTGCTATAGCAATCGTTCTGAGGTCCTTAGCTACGAATGCATTGGTCTTCACTTTTGTTGCCAGCTATTCAGAAAATGACTACACATCGACTATAGCAAAAGCTCTATCCAATGCTGTGGTCTTACAGGTTGATCGTTGTAGCCAAAGTCAAAGAGATGGAAGATACGGAGCTGACAAAAACGGCTTTCAGTTGTATCAGAGAGAGAGCCATAGCTGGAAAACAAAGCCTTGTGTATCAGAGAGAGAGGGCGAAGACTCCATTGACAACCTGTAAACAATGTAGCTAGTCACTAACGACTGCCTACTAAACTAACGACGCAAACAACACTACCCGGGCGAGCATGGACCAGTTTTTTTCGTGCACGCAATGGCACTCTTGGATCATATTTGCACAAGGTGGTGCTCGCGAAAGCGAAACAACAATGGCAACAAAGTCGCTCGACGCAAAACCCCTGAGCTTGGCCCAACTTGGACAGGAATGTCAAACGTAGCTGGGGCTCGTCGAATTGAGGACTACAATGGTGATGCAACTAAAGTACGCACACATGCGACCAGTCACTCGAACATATTACGTTTTCATTGACTCTACCAAACAAAAAGATAGAGTCCTAACAGCAGCGTGAGCACAAACGTAGCAAACGCCTTGAGAAAAAAGGTACGGGATGCCGAAGTGCAGTCAGGCGCTAACGTCACTTCCGCAAGCAGAGCGGCACTATCGATACACACCGTCGTTCTGCTCGTGACACCATCTTTCTCCTCCAGCTCCTGCTGCTTCCTGATGGAAGCAAACTTCTTCTTTACCATCTCCAAGGCCGGTAAAACCATATCACGCCCGGCCGCCAGCTCAAAGACATCCCTAAATTCAGTCTCAAACTTCGTTTGCAGTGGTGGCCTTGCAGCCAAATCGGACTGCATTCCAACAATCAGAAAATGTCATGCGGCTTACTAGTTGGATGCACGTGTTACATAGTCAACAGAACGCACCGTGATAACAGATGTAGCTTCCTCAAACGGAGCTCCGAGGCCAAGATCAAGCATTCGCAGGACGAAGTGGTTAAAGATCCAATCGGGAAGGGGAAGTAGCACCATCAGTGACCGCACTGAAAACAGTGTGGCCGCGCTCGTATCAGGGTCTGCATCCCCGCTCTTCCGTTCAGACTTCTTGTTTGCAGCTGCAACACTTGCCAGCACTGCGCGAAACAAGCGATCCATCTCTGTCAGCGCCTGAAGAAACACAAACCGTGTCTTCCGATCACGCAGTCCCTCATGGACGCTCTTTCCCGTCAGTGCATTGATGTAGTAAAAGGTCCGCAGCATCGTGCATCCCCACTTGATTGCTAGGAGCGTATCACGCGAGACAAAACAGAAGTAACCTTTGTTTGTCAGCATTCACCAAGTAACTACCAATTCGTGGCAGCTTCCCACCTTGCACGTTTCCTCGGCTAAGCACTTGGATTCCCGTGCCTTCCAGCACGTTTAGCGCATAGATTGCAGAACTCTTTTCGTTCCTGTGCACAACAACAACAACAACAACATAACAAACACATCCATGATCACCACGGGTTACAGCTGCTGTATCACACACACGCCAACTCACGAAAGCCGCTCGACAAAGAAACAGCCATTCGACAATGGTCTCAGCACGTCTTTTTCGTCCTTGACGATCTGGAAAGCAGTGCCGCCATGCAGCACAATCGCGTCCGGCAATCTGCACACGTCCGTCAAGCCAAAAATTGCACTTTACATCAATATGTGTCGCCACAAAGTGTACACTACACACAAACATGTACACATAACATCGACGCAACAGTCGTACGCAGCGTTTAGAAGAGCAAGACGCCGCAGCGTCGTCTGCAGACTCCACACCACACGCTTTGGGCGGTCCTGATCCTGTTGTCCAAGTCGCTTGCGCAGAAACTCGACGACGGAAAGCGTCACGTCTACCTCGAGCACCAGGAGCCACAGGTCGCAGGTCCCCAATTTCATCCAATCGTCTGTCTCCTCGTACAACTCGCCCGACAGCTGACGGCTGTGAAGTACCGCGCCATCCGAACGCAGCGCCATCGCCCCAGATGCGGTCGTCTTCAGCCGCCTATCATCGGGTCGCGTCTCGTCTGCGTGTATGCCCACGAGGTACGTCTTGGCACAGCGTCCGCTCGTCGCTAGACACAGCGCGACATACTGCGCCAGTTGCGTCTCCTCCGACGACACGCTGCTCGCCTTAGTGTACACGACGCTCACGACGGGCAGCATTTTGTCAAATGGGATCGTCGCACTCAACTGATTGGCTGAAATGAAACACTCGGTGCCCGCCGTCGTTGTGCGCGTCTGCATCACACACGGTCGTCAGCTGGGGCAATGTTGTGACAATACGTGCCCATGACGAGAGCTAAAAATATAATATGCCGCATTTTGGTATCATCACTCCGTTTGCTGCAAAATTAGCATCGTCAGGACCAAAAAAAACATGATCAATCATTGGCAGATATAGCGTCCGCCGACTCCCCCTCACGCTCTTTATCCACCAATCAAACAGCGACGCTGCCCCCACCACGCCCCCTCAGCGACGTGGCAAAAGGATTCCAGCAGCATGGCCGGCGTGACGAACGAGCGCTACTGTACGGTGCTGCTGCAGCAAGTGACGGAAGAGAAGGCGGTGCCGCCGTCGCAGGATGAGATCCTCAAAGGCCTCGAGTCGCCCAAGGTCGAGCACAAGATCCGCGCCGTGAAGAGCGCGATCCTCGCGCTGTTGCAGGGCGAGCACTTCTCCAAAGTGTTGATGCACATTATCCGCTTTTGCTCGACCCAGAGCGACCACACGCTCAAGAAACTGCTGATGGTGTACTGGGAGATCGCGCCTAAGTACGAACAGTCCCCCCAGCCCGCTGCGGGGACGGCTGCGGCCCCGCCCAAGCTCCTGCCGGAGATGATTCTCGTGTGCAATGCCCTGTTGAACGACTTGAACCACCCAAACGAATACATTCGCGGCTGCATGCTGCGTTTCCTGTGCAAAATCAAGGAAAAAGACATTCTCGAGCCGCTCAAGGACGCCGTGAAGAGCAATCTCGAGCACCGCCACTCGTACGTGCGGAAGAACGCCGTCATGACGGTGTATACGATGTACAAGACGTTCGGCGACGTGGTGATCCCGGACGCTCCTGAGCTCATTGAGCGCTTCATTCTCAATGAGAGTGACGCTGGCGCTCGACGCAATGCGTTTCTGATGCTGAATGACTGCGCTCAGGACCGCGCGGTGACGTTTCTGATGAACGCTATGGACCAAGTGCCCAAGTTTGGCGATGGCTTTTCACTCGTGATCTTGGAGACGACACGCAAAGTGTGTCGTCAGGATCCCGCTCAGAAGGCGCGCTTTGTGCGCTGTGTGTTCCAGCTGCTCAACTCGTCTTCGCCTGCGGTGAGCTATGAGGCAGCGTGGACACTGGTGACGCTGTCTGCGGCGCCCACGGCCGTGCGCGCGGCTGCTAAGACCTACTGTGGACTGCTGAACTCGCAGAGTGATAACAATGTGAAGCTGATTGTGCTCGATCGACTTGCAGATCTGAAGAAACACCACACGAAAGTGCTGCAAGAGATTGTGATGGATATCATGCGCGCATTGAGTTCGCCCAGTCTTGACATTTGCAAGAAAGTGTTGGAGATCGCAATGGATCTTGTCTCCGTGCGGAACATTGATGAAGTCGTGACGCACTTGAAGAGAGAGGTCGTCAAGACACAGGACAAGACCCGCGAAAAGGCCGGCGAGTACCGTCACCTGCTTATCAAGGCCATCCACGCATGCGCTGTCAAGTTCCCGGAAGTCGCAAACGCTGTGGTGCACCTGCTGATGGAGTTTCTCAACCAGCCAGATGGTGCGATGGATGTCGTGCTCTTCGTGCGTGCAATGTGCGAAAGCTACCCAGACCTTCGTGGGGGCATTCTACAGAAGCTGATGGTATCCTTTAGCGACATTTCGTTGGCCAAGGTGTATCGAGTGGGGCTCTGGATCCTAGGAGAATATGCTACTTTGCCTCCAGAGGACGGTACGGAGAGCGACACGTCGATTCTCGAAGCTGCCAACACCATTTTCGGTGCTATCGGTAGTCTACCGTTGATTACGGACGCGATGCTGAAGGCGTCCACCGAAACTGCCGAAAAAAGCACAGAGGATCCAACTGCTGCTGGTGCGGCTTATTCGAAGCCTGTCACGAAGAGCGTTGTCCTGGCCGATGGCACGTACGCGACCGAGACGTCTTATGCTGCTCCTGCTGCAAAGTCAACGGTGACGGACGAGGAAGGCGTCCCAGGCTTGCGGCGTTTGCTGCTGAATGGCGACTTTTTCCTTGGCGCAGCAGTAGCTTCCACGCTGACGAAGCTGTGTCTGCGTGTGTCCAACGGTGACCTTGCAAACGCCACTGCCCGCGATGCTGTGATAAAGAAGCTGGTTGTGGATTCTACACGATGCATGTGTGCAATTGTGGCATATGGCCAATCTAAGGCGAGCAAGCACGAGATTGACCAGGACTCTGCTCGCCGCATCCTTATGGGTGTGCGTGTGCTACTAGACCCCGCAAGTGCTCAGGCGACACACGCGATCATTACCGAAGAATGTCGTGCTGCGTATCGTAACCTTCTCGACGCCCAGAAGGCACAAGAGGCAGAAGCTGCGCGCTCTGCGGCAGGTGGTGCCAATGGCGAGCCAGTGACTCACGCAGACGATTTGATCAACTTTCGACAGTTGCGCGGCAAGAAGGCTTTGGGCTCAACTGACATCGACATTGACGACGGCGCTGACATCAACCGCGCCCTCGGTCAGCAGGGCAACGGTGCTGACAACGAATATGCTGGTGCGATGCGACATGTGCACCAATTGACAGGTTTTGCGGACCCTGTGTACGCCGAGGCTTATGTCACGGTTCATGACTACGACATTGTGCTGGAGATTCTAGTGGTGAACCGCCTTCCCCAGACACTTACAAACCTATCGGTGGACTTGTCTACTATTGGCGACCTCAAGCTCGTGGAGCGCCCTCAGCCGCAAACCATCGGGCCACTTGACCAGCGCACGATCCGTGCCAACATCAAGGTGAGCTCGACTGAAACGGGCCACATCTTTGGTACTATCGTGTACGACTCGGCATCAGGTGCAGAGAAGACGTATGTAAATTTGAACGATATCCACCTGGACATCATGGACTACATCAAGCCAGCCACGTGCACAGACAGCGCTTTTCGTGCCATGTGGGCCGAATTTGAGTGGGAGAATAAGGTGGCTGTGCACACGGAGCTGTCGAGTGTGTTTGAGTTCCTGCAGCACGTTGTCGACAAGACGAACATGCGCTGCATGACGCCCACAGCATCACTCGGTGGCGACACGAACTTCCTGGCTGCGAATCTGTACGCCAAGAGTGTCTTCGGCGAAGACGCGCTTGTCAACCTCAGCGTCGAGAAGCAGGACAGTGGCCGTATTGCTGGTTACATTCGTATCCGCAGCAAGACGCAAGGCATTGCCCTCAGCCTAGGCGATCGCATCACCGCTGTGCAGCGCGGCAAGGAGGACCAGAGCAAGCGAAAGAAGTTTCTTGGTTAGATGGCGATGATGCAGTCGAGGTGGAACTCACCGCTGGCTACTGCGGGAGTGCGAGGCAGAAGCGAGTGGAGTTGCTGCAGTTGCAGTGGACGAGAGATCTCTCAGGCTCACGCGACACTCAAAGCTTTATTTTTCGTTGATCGTGTGGTCGGTCACTTTAACAACTTCAGTTGACACTTTTGGTCGCGTAGTTTGCATTCGGGTCCAATTGACACGGCAGCTCTCTGCGGCAGACGAAGGCAACTGTTTTTCATGCAGCTCTTGAGAGAACTCGTGGTGGTTTGCTCAACGCTTATCGTGAATATTCGTGCTTGACACAAAATATGTAGATTGTCGGATGCGAAAAAAGCGCTACATTTGTGAGCAAGTAGTGTGCTTTTTACCAGAAGTGCTACATTTGTGAGCTAGCATTGTGCTTTTTGACAAAAGCGCATTTTATACAACGGATCGAGAGTCTAAGCCATCCTCACTTCCAGGGGTAAGCACCGCTATGCGTCGTCAGCCGCTATCAGGAGTCTCGTAAATATGGCATTCAACCCCATCGCGTCCGTCCCACGCGAAAAAGACTGGAAGGTCGCAACGATAGCTCTTGCTCGCAAGTACGTCTTTGCAAGCAACGTATCCGTACGCTGCTCCAGTCAAACAAGCTGTGTCGTCGCCTTCTCCACTATTTCGGCGTCTCGACAATAGTAATGGTGTGGGTCTCGCGTCTGTACCCGTTGTGTCGTCTTGCCCTTGACTCGTTTCCGTGTCCAAATTCACGTCAACAAGGTCGATGCCCCACAACGGACCATAGACTCTCATGTTACCAGCGACTCCATCCACCCACGGAAATGATCGGTCACCGGCAATCGATCTTCCATCATCGCTGGAGACTTCACGTCGATGGTCTCGCACAACTATCTCGACACTGACTTTCACAGGAGATAGTGAAAGCGCCTGCGCTTCAGCCAAACGGGTCTCAAACCACTCGCCCAGACGCAGGGGGACCATCACAACTGGAATGTCTAGCGGTTCATCAGCCACTTTATCACTGTTTCCGTCCATTCCACTCATGACCATCACTTGATCATTGTCTTCTGTGTTCACTATGATGACGCCCGCAGCGCCCTGCTTGGCCGCATGCCGCGCTTTCGCTTCGAAATAACAGTCACCTCTTCGAATAAGCACCATCTTTCCTCGAACACGGTCGTTTCCCAAATCAGACACTTCACTGCACGCCATGGCAGGACGAGCGGCCACAAGTTCCATGATCGGAAAGGCATGAGACGATTGCAAGGTGCTCGCTGCGCCAAAGTCAGCACCAATACAGGGCACTGTGGACCAGACATCGCGTCTGTCGTTCAGACCTTCGTTGACGTCGGGTATCCCCTTCTCGTTGGGTTGAGCTTTTCCTGGATGACGACTGCAGCCCACTTGATAGCGTAATGAGCAGCGCTGGTCGACAGACATGCCCGAAGTACCGTCAACCTTATACGCGTGCATCCATGACAGGTACGGCGGGTCATTATCATTGCCTTGCACTGGCTTCTCTTCTCTCAGCTTCTCAACAGTGTACGAACCAGCGTCGGCATCATTCGCCGAGCCATCGTGCGGTCCTAGTCCTATAAGAATGTGACTGTGACCAAGAATGCCGGAAGCTTCAATCCAATCACCTGTTCTCTCGCGAGTCACACGCAATCGATCGGGTAGCTGCTCGACACGGAATTCTCCCAGATCGCTACCACCATACAAACGCTGCACCGCTAGACCGTGATCGTTTTGTTCGGTCGAACGTACGTCACGGCTGGCCAATCTTCCTTTCAGCAGCTGATCAAGCAGTCCATCGTCGACATCCTTTCCACCAAAGTTCCGGAGTCTCTCCTTCCATGCAGGCAACCCTTGCTGCAGTGAATCAATACCTGATTTTTCCTTACCCGCAGAAACAGCGATGTCGTCCCCAGTCGTCGCCAGCGGTGTATTTTTGGAGGCAGCCGTTGCAAGCATTTTTTTCGCTGAGACGGAATTCTTCGAGGACTGGGCAGTACGTACTGCAGGCAGAGAGCATCCCGGTGTAAGTGTCGTGACCTTGTCTTCGTATTCCAAAGAGTAACTGGTGACGTCGTAGAACGTGGGCACCTTGCATTGCAGGACTAGTTCAGGCGAGAAGCGATTGCCGGACGCCGGTCTACCACTGTTTACGTCTGCATTCGACGCCTGCAATATTGGCGCAACGACCTTAGTGGAGAGAATTGGCAGTGGATGGGCCTCGGTCGTCAGTACGTAATTGCCTTGTCGGAAGAAGTGCGAAGTGTTGAAAAGCAGGTAAAGGTACTTGCACGTCTCGGACAGAAAGAACGAAGGCATGTAGTCTTCTTGTTTCTTCGACACAACGTCAGCAATACTTGCGTAACCACACGGAGTCTTTGCGTACGTTTGTAGCGAATGAATCACGTGCGCACCAGCACGCAGCCACGACGAGTCATTGGTGGCTTCGTGCATGTAAAATGTCGACTCGATTAGCTCTGGGCGCAGTGGGTAACGGGCGCCGCCCGCACCCGGTGGCTTTACGGGTTCCCAAGTGCCCACGTTGAAATGCTCCGGCAGAAATCCGTAGTCGCGCCAGATACGATAAAAAGAGTTGACCGATTTTGCAGCGGCAGATAAATCACCCGCACCAACTTGCACGCCAGGCCAAAACGAGGCGAGGCTTTCAACAATGATAGTAGCTCCGCCCGCTTTGCGATGATGGCAGCCTGTATACATGGACACGTCAGTGTACCAGTTGCCGTGTTTGTTGTAAGCCAGTACACTCGGGTAGACTTGCGCAAACATCTCTAACGACTCACGGTCACCAAACAGTTCGTACATCTTCAGCAAGTACTCGTAAAAGCTATCCGAATTGGACCCTGGACCCGACGTTGTCTCAGTCCAATGACCATCAGTGGTGTTTATGTGCTTTCCAAGCAATCCGATGTTCGAGCGGCGCTGGAACAGTGCGCGTACAGCCCCTCGTGATGCAGCAGCATACTTGGAATCACCTGTCAAGACACTCAGCATTGTGAACTCGACTGAAAGCGACCCGGCACCAGCAGTTGAAGAGATCGGTGTTTCGCCCTTGGGCACTCCATGCTTCAGATTCACTGTGCCATACGGAATCCCTGTCGTGGTGTTGAACGCGGGCATGAGGCGGTCGGCAACGTCTACAGCAAGGCGCAATAGTGCATCGTTCTCGTATCCACCTTCTGGAAATAGCTTCAGATCGGCGTTCACCGCAAAAAGATGTGCTGACAACAGTCCGCCCAGCACGCGGATCGTTGTTTCAAACACTGACACATTCGTATCGATATCAAAGTTAGCATTTGCGAGCACGAGTCCCACTGCTCTTCGAAATTCTGTCGCGTCTTCAAACACAGCCAACGTGTCCAACGTGTCAATCAACGTGAGCATCGGCAGTTGACCCAGTTCAAACTTCCCTCCACGACACGACAGCGGTTGCAAATCACCCTGCGGAAACGCATGTGTCAAGTAGCCGTTATACGCATGATAAAACATGTCGCGCACTGTACGAGTCAGTGCTTCGCGTTCATGCCCTCCCATAAAGTTCTGTGTGGTCGATTGGAACTGGTACCCTTGCATCAGTCCACACGCCACTGGCGAGCACACTGTGAGCTCGTACTCACACGGCGAGTGCTCGTTCACCGAGTCTATGTACGTGTCATCGTCCCGAAACAGACAGCATTTTACTTGCACTTTGACAGATCGAGAAGCGCCACTTTCTTCGCAGAAATCCCCTCGGTTGTAAAGCTCTTGAGCCATGTAGCCCATGCGGTCTGGGTCTGCAAGTTCGAGCAGGTTGTTCACAGCCACAACTCGAAAAGCTTGAGGGTGCGTTGCACTATGCACTCCAACAAGTATACTCTCCTCGCCTGAACTGCTCACTTGGTCGATAGCCAAAGTGTGGAACTGACGCACGTGGCGGTCGACGCACCACTCGTAGTACCACCATGTGTCCGCCACGTGGTACATCAAACAGCTATCGCCTCGTATCTGACGCTTTAGACTGTTCTTGAATGCCTGATAGCTTGCCCCGGACAGCGTGTGGTTGCCATGAAAGCGCAGGAGGGCCGGGGCCTGCGTCTCGACGTGGCTGGACGCATCGTGTGCGGCTCGTAGGACGTCTCTAGCGACAAAAACCAGTGCAATCGATAGCAGAGACGTAGCTGTAAATGCACACCACATGACAGTGACTGGCGGGCAATGCAACGCGGGGGTGAGGCGGCCGAGCAGAATCTTCAGCCTCGGCGATTGCGGTTACAATGACCACGCGTCGAGTATGCATGCAAATATTGCGTTTCTACAGGTAGCCTGTTGAACGTGATGACGCGATGTTATCTGTTTTGACAGGATACGTACGATGAGGTCCGTACCCTGACACAATCGATCATGCCAATAGAGCTCCACGGCACCGGGGCAGCAGTGCTGCGGTCGTTCCTGGCGACGCATCTGAGCGCTGCACAGCTGGAGCGGCCTGACGTGAAGGAGATGTTGCATCTGATGCCAATGGAGCACACGAATGCACTAAGTGTAGCGGAACTGCGGCAAGTAGCAGCGCTGCTGAGGGAGTTGCGAGCCGATGTACCATCGACGCCTAGTTTAGTGTCGCTATTACGACAAGGAAAAGGCGTTCGAGCACGAGTGGTGGCGACAGAAAAGGACGAGGAGCAGCAAAAGGCGGAGCAGGAAAAGGAGGAAAAGAGGAGAAGGTACTTGTGCAAACGCCGCAAAGCGCTGCAGCGTCTGGACGAAGATATGCGTTACGACAGCATGGTCAGTAATGTCAACCCAGTGTCGAACCGAAGAGAGTGGACGAAGTACGAGACGAACGTACGTCAGCACTTGTCCATTGGTGCTAATATGGTTATGGCTCGGATCACGGCGTTTGGGGCCGTGTACTTTGTCGCTCGGAACGTCACGGACAACGAGACGATGGTGAGTTTTTTTCTTTCGTTCTTGGTTTTGCTACTGAAGTTGGACGTTATTGATTGTGGAAACGCTTCATATGTCATATTGCGTGTGTCATAGAGACTGGTTGCTGGACTCGGAGGGGCTATTGTCATGATGGTCATTGAGATGGTGCTGTTCATTGCGCGTGCAGCAAAGATGGAGCAGCTCGAGAAGAAGCTCAAGAGTCGATTTTAGGTTGCGTGACAAGTGATGCTCGGTGCAAGGGGGGAGGTACGAATGTGCGGGTGAATCAACGCACGAATGGGCTTGCGTCATTTGTAGCGTGGTAGCTCATTTGGGGCATGATAGCATATGGAGAGGCGGGCGATCGCACCTCTACGTGTAAGATTGCAAGGAGCAATCGACCCGAGGATCAAGATCGTGGTCATTTATCGGCTCGCAATACATTCTGCTGGAAGCCGGACCTACAGTTCCGTTTGGACTGACAACTGCGCAGTCTCTGTAGCAGCTACGTGCAAGGCTCATGCAAGCGCAACGGCAGATGCAGCCATCGATTTGTACGATCGGCGCCAGTCTCCGGCACAGCAACGAGCGCGATCGGCACATAGTTTGGCGTTGATGCGTGCAAGCAGCAGACCCAGCAAGTCTGTCAGCAGACGGTCAGTAGCGACGATTGTGGAAAGGTGACATATTCGTCTGCAAAAAACATCGACAGGTCCGATACATCCGTTTACCGCGCCGCAATCGAAGAGGCTGCTCGTCAAATGCAATGGCAACAACCAAATGTTGGGCTCGTTCGACCCAGCGAGTTACATGTCGGTATGTTTCTAGCAATCAATAGACAATGCCGGCCAAACTATGAACAGAGGACGTGTTGTGTCGAGCCGCGCGATATTGTGTGGTGCACTCCATGTCCACGAGATCGTGTGGGACACCGCAACTTCCGATATTGTGTGGTGCACCCCATACGACCTAGATTGAGCGGCTCCGTCATCACTTGGCGGCCAGGTGCATGGCGATAGCGCTCTCGATGCAGTCGATCCAGTGCGCGGCGCTTCTGACGCTGTTTGTCGCCACATGTGCATCTTCTGTGTCCACGTCGACACGTGCGTTCTGCTGCTGTTTCTGTGGCATCGTTGACGCCTGTCGATCGATCTGAATGGGTTTAGACCATTCGGCATACTGAAACAATGTTGTTCGTTTGTACCCATTTGGTAGGCGAAGACGTGCCGACCGAAGCGGACCGACGGAGTTTCCAGTGGCTCAATGAAGGCGTCACGCTCACGAACCAAGTGCTCGAGTGGGGACAGCAGCAGAGCTTTTGTTTTTACGAAAACGCGTCGCTGCACGTCCGCATGGACCCCTTGAACAGGTACACATGGGTTCATTTTGACCTACTTTTGGGTCATTTCTGGTCGTTTTTCGTCGTTTTCGTACTTTTTGCTGCAGCAGGAAGAGAGTGCGAAGGAGTGTAACGTGGACTGACGGGTGGCTGTTTTCTTGGTTGCAGCACCCTTCAGCCGGCGCTGATTCAGACGCTGGGCCAGTCGCGCGAAGCAAATGTGCTGTTCGGTTGGGCCAACGCCACGCTGTGGTACTTGCAGCGCTCTGCGTGGCCATTGCGTCCAGTGTTATGGGCTTGGAGTGAGCTGCGTGTTCTAATACACAGCCCTAACGTTCACCAGTTGAGCTTTACGTTTGCACGGTGAGATCGCATGGTTTGACCAGATCAACGATGACGTGGGCTCTTATACTGTTATTGCAATGGTATACGTGCGCTGCAACAGCACACCAGGATTACTGTGTCGCAGCGTGATAAACGCAGTGCACGTGGCTCCAGCACTTGGCGACTATCTACCGCTATGTGTGGTCGACGCAGTAGAGTGCTTGCTTTATGTGGCATGTACGTTGCCTTGTTTTGTGTGCCTGTTTGACAAGAAGGACGATACACACACGATTGTGGTGCTGGCATTGACTGATGTTGCTGGGGTTTCTATCGCAAACAGCAAAACTCGTGTGCGAGAACTGTGTCAGTGGTTGTCCGCTCGAGTGCAAAGAAGCAGACGATGACGAAACTTTGTGCATGCTGACACTCAGTCCGTATCACGCGCCATGCATAACGGTCACAGGACCTGCAAAGCCGTTCATCTCGACGTCATCGCCCGAGCTCGACTTTGATTTTACGTTTCTCACGTGTACGTGCTGTTGTCAAGCGTGTGCGACTCTTGCTTCATTTGGTATGCTAACTAGCATCTTGTGTTGTAGATTTGTCGTGGGTGTATGCGCAAAATTTTTGTCTAGGCTTGCTGCTCTTCTACCTATCAGAGTGGCTTGCACGCTCTCGCACTTTTCACTACAGCTTGGGTGCAGTCGTGGGGGTCTTGTTCTCGGCGCTCCTAGCACTCTATCTTTTCCAGCGTCAGGCTCGGAATACGACCAACATGTTGCCAGGCGCGCAGCTCGTATCCTCACTGGCTGCATTAGCGACAGTCGCTGTCCCAGTCACTGGCTTCGTGATCGTGCCTAGCCTGTATCGCCTCGGATCTTGGGCCATCACCTATTTGCTGTACTTGTGGAATCGCGAAGTGCTTTTTGGCATTCCGCATCTGGGCAAGATGTACTTCGCCTTTTTTGCTCTTTTTGGGTGTGTCCTTGTGTGGTGGTACCAGTGGGGAACGTCGGTCAAGTTACATACGGAATCGCAGAAGGAGGAAGAGATTGAGGAGATTGGCAATTTGGAAGACGAGCTGCCGCCACCGACGAATTCACAGCTCATTATGTCGCGCTCATTGAAGGTGCTGGGTATGACGTTGCTGTTTTACAGCACATCTTCCACGGAAGCTTCCATGTTGTTGGTCCTGCTCGTATCGCTCACGCGTGCTTTCGAAATCATCGCAACCGTCGCGTACTTTTGGTATCATTTCGAGAAGCCCGGTCGTCACAGTGCTCTAATCTCGAAGTCAGAGTACGAGAAGCAAGGACAGACGGAGACGGAAAAAGCACTGGCGCAATTGCAGAAGTACTTGAAAGAGAACCCGGACGAACTGGATAAGGTCCGGGAAGAGAACGAAATTCGTCTTCGGCGTTTTACCAGAGGCCGCAACCACCTGGATGTCGCCACACAAGAGTCAATGCTTTTGCGCCAGCGGAATCGGAGTCGGTCGTTCTGGTCGCACTGCTCCATCCAGTAGTTTTGTGCCGTCAAATAGTACCAAATAGAGGCGTGAGGGATACGACGGAAGCATTCTCCAGCAAGCTTGATGCGAGAAGTTTGTAAGGTAAGCATTCTCAGACAGAGAGGGTCTGTGAAAGTGTGGTCTGAGGCATCATCCGACCACGGCATTGCTTTCCGTGCGATCAACGATAGTAAATGGAGCAAATGAATTACAATTTACACTTGGAGCGGTCGTGTGGAACAACTGCTTACGACACGAAAACGTACTGCGCACCTATCTCGTCTCTTGACTGCCTCGTCCAGACACCTGCTACTCATACAATCGAGCCCCGGCTTCGAGTCCAATAGAATCTGCTGCCAGTCTCCGGTACGTCATTCGTCTGCCGTTCACGATCTCCTGCCTTACCATTCGACTTGTCTTCGAGTGCTGCTTCATCTTCGTCTTTCGTGATCCCGTGAACTTGGGATTCGCGACGAATTGTTTCTTGAAGTCGCTGCCACGAATACCCGGCCCGACTTGAAGGTAGCACAGGAGCCGGAGGAGGCTGCTGTGCTAGGTCCTGGAAGTCTAGACACACCGGCTGCTTTGCACTTCCACGATCCAATGGACCTGGCCAGCTTTCACCAAACGTGGTTTGCGCGCAGCTTGATCTCCGTTCTCCTCCTCCCCGTTTAAGCGGTACAACAGGCACGCGAATCGGTGGGATCTGCGTGTACTGGTAATGACGGTGGACTCCTGGTCGGTTGGCGATGAGCATTGTGTTGATCGGTGGAAGTAGTCTGCGCGGGGGTAACGAAAGCGCTGGAATGGGTGAGCGTGCTTCAGCTGTTGAACACGAAGGTGGCTTGGCAAGCACGGTCGCTGGTGTCGACGGAAACGACGGCGGATGGACAACCATTTTGCTTCTGATGCTTGTCGTCGACGGCGTGGATCGCCCGCCATGGGCAAAGCAAACCCCGCCTTTGCGTGCAGTAGTTGTGCACCCTTCAAAGACGCATCGCTTGCCACCGCCGTGGGCGATGCAGCGACCTCGACTCACAGCACTGTTGGCACAGTTCTTTGCCACGCACCGTCGTCCGCCTCCGTGAGCTTTGCACAATCCCAGACGCTGGGCACTGCTCGTGCAGCCATCGACCGTGCAACGTTTTCCGCCACCGTGTGCAATGCATCGCCCGCCAGTCTTTGCACTGCTGGTACAGCTTTCAACTGCACATCGACGACCACCTCCATGGGCTCGGCAACGAGCACCACTCACGGCACTGCTTGCACACCCGACGACTTGACAGCGATGGCCTCCGCCGTGTGCGATACAAAGACCGCCTTTCTTGGCACTGGACCCGCATCCTTCTCGTTGACAACGCCCTCCACCGCCATGGACGTAGCACAAACCTCGACTTTGGGCACTGCTTCTGCAGTCGGAAACTTGACAGCGCCGCCCACCTCCATGCGTCCGACACAAGCCACCGGAAGCCACGTGCTTGTTGCAACCTTCTTCATTGCACTTCCGCCCACCGCCATGTTGCGCGCAGAGGCCGTGACTGACAGCACTACTGGTACAACCAGGCGAAGCATGGCATCGTCGAACTCCACCGTGGCCCACACACGAGCCTCCAGACACGGCGTGTTTCATGCAGCCTTGTGCGCGGCAACGTACTCCTTTCTCATGGGTTGGACGTGGTCCACGACTACGACCGGAAGTCAGAGATCCAGGAGAGCGGCAGGCACTACCAGCAGTGGTCCCGCTGTGGAACGCTTCCATTGCACTGTCATCTTGGTCTTCAATGTCGTGGTCTTCAATGTCGTGGTCTTCCTCTTCCTCTTCGTCATCGTCGTTGTCCGTCTCGGACGTGCTTGGGTACCCGGAAGACCACATGTCCCGGACGTCTTTGCTGTCAGGGGAGTGCGAAGCAGCGTGTAGAAGCTCGCTGAACTTCGGAGAATCGCGCTTGGAATCCGTGGCCATGTCGCCGTTGCTCAGTCGAGTCATGGACAGTGCGCTGGAAGCGTGAGGCGACGAGAAGGACCTTGCGCGTGTACCTCTGTTCATCTTTCTTTCTTCCGACAGCAATAGCTTCCAGCAGTGGTGGAAAGCTCGCAGTCTCGAGCTCCGTCGCAGCAGCTCGGAATACAAAAGTGAAGTCGACGTAGTCTTCCTTCTGCGGCTGCTGCTGCTGTCGTAGAGATAGCAATGCGACTTGCAAGAAAGCCGCAAAAAAGTGGGGAGCGACGTGCGTAAAAGTCGATGTTTGGAGCATTGAACCATCGATAGAAAGCGCCTTGGGAGCCGTCGTCAGGGACCTGGCGAGAGAGACTGCAGTGTGTTCTGGAGTGAGCGATGGGTTGGGACGATCCGGAGGCATCGCTGGCGTTTGTCTGGCAGCGTTCTTCGGGTGTCGAAGAAGCGCCACGAAAGCGAAAACAGAGACGTCCTGTCCCAAATGACCGTAGCCGCCATCGTGACAAGTCCCGACTTTGAGTCGTTGTCGAGTCCTTTTTTTCTGCGCACGTCCCAGCTGCTAACGTGACTAAAAGCACACAGAAGCAAAGAGCACACACACAACGCACAGCGCACCACCCCAGCACCACTGCGCAGTGGGTCGTAGTTAGTCGGTTGTCAACAACACTCCCTTTGCTTCCCCTTTTGCCCTGCTACGACCGACACCAGCGCAAGTGACCCCCAGCGCTAGCACGCACATACACCCCCGATCAACACGAAATCACATCGATTGTTCCTCGGTTAAGTAGTCATTCCTTGCCGCCAAGTAGCTGCAACCTAATCTTCTTTTTCGAGCTTAATCTCGAGCATGATCGCGCTCTTGCGCTTCTGTTTCGTAAAAGTAGCCGGCGTCTCGAGCTCAAACATGCGCACGTCCGACGCGTCTTTGCCGACGAACTCCACGAGGGGCACCGTGCAGAACGCGATCTTGTCGTCCTTCGAGATGCGGTCGTGGTCAAAGATCTTAACACTCAGCACAGCCGTCGTGGGGTCGTCGGCAATGAACGCGAACGTCTCTTCCGGGTCCCACTCGGGATTGAGCGTCGCGGGGATCATGGAGCTCTGGTGCACCGTGTTGGCCAGCTGAAAGACCACGTAGGGGTCGCTCTTGCCGTTGAAGTCGGCGGAAGGGAGATCGACGGCCTTGATGAGCGTCACGTGGACAGCGTGCATTGCAGAGACAGAGAGCAGGAGGGGGTCAGGACAAGGAGGTCACGAGGGCTCGACAGGCGACTCGAGGGGCGGACGTCTGATCGACAAATATCATCCCGCATGGCATGCGCTGGTGAGCCCACTAAGTATACAGCCTCTTCCGAAAAGTGTGGACCGACGAGCGAAACGCGCAACTCGTGCGCAACATAGGGCGAAGTGCGACGCTACGTGCGTCGAGTTATGGCGGGGCAAAACTGTTGCACCGACCGTCGAGGACTCCACGCGCGCGACGGATCGTGAGCAAAAAGTCGACGTGCGATATTCAGTCGTACGTGCCGAAATCCGCCCACGTTTTGAGCACGATAGATTCAGTATGACAGTTGGACGGGTCGCATCTCTACGCGCTGTTTACAGGATAAGCGTCTATCCTGAGTGCAGCAGACCATCGTGTTGACGTGCGACAGAAAGATCATTATGCGGTAAAAGTGTGCGTTTTTCTTTCTCAAACGACGTGTGTGTATTCTTCCGGCTACTTTTCCGTGCGCGATCCGCGATACGACTCGGCAAGCACTGCATTGCAGCTTCCGAAACAACGCTTTCTGTTCTTTTTTTGCGCCGTCTCTACGCCTGCAGCGCACGCATGCGCCGCCGTGCGCCTTTTCCCCCAATCCCTACCGAAGTACAAACAACGCGCTCCGAAACAACGACGCAATTCTCTCGACCGCGCGACTGACTGACGGACTGACTGACGGCCCGCAAAAAAAGCGCTTTCTCCGTCCGACACAACGCTATCTTCGCAATTCGTTTCTGGCTTTTTTCACTCGAGTAAGTGCGTCACTCGACCCACACCCGCTCTGACCTTATCGAACGCGCACACCCACGTCGCCCGTCCGCCCCCTCTTGTCGACCCATGAGCGGCCTCCACACGCTGCAGGTGACGCTCGTGTGTGCAGGCGACTTGGCCGCGAGCGACTTTGGGTTCCTGGGCCTCGGCGGCAAGAGCGACCCGTACGTGGTGTTCAAAGTGGGCCGCCTGAGCCAAAAGAGTTCCGTCGTGCAGAACAGTATCCACCCGCGGTGGGAACCCGCCGAGACGTTCCAGTTCCAAGTCGACCGGCCGAAAGAAAAGTGCCTCGAGGTGCACGTGATGGACCACGACCGGTTCTTGCGGGACGACTGCATTGGCAAAGCGAACGTCGCGCTCGCGCCGTTCCTCGAGAAGCGGCAGTCGGAGCTCGTGTCGTACGACCTCGAAGTGCCGCCGGACTATGACAAGCAGAAGCGCAAGTCGGTGCTCTTCCTCGAGATTCGCCTCACGCCGAACGAACAGGTGGACCAAGTGCTCGAGCTCTGGGAGAACCAGCGGTTCCACATTGTCAAGAAGTGGACCACGGACACGCTCATTGCCGGCTCGACGGAGCGCAAGCGCTGGAGCTCTGTCACCGACGCCAACATCTCGTCCACTGCTTTCGAAGAAGTCGCGCCCAAGGTGCCGCGTCATCTCACAGCAGAGGGCTGGACGCTCGACGTCTCGCAAGGAGACGACAATGGCTGGATCTATGCGCCGTCGTTCTCAGGGCCGTGGCAGAAAGATCCCTTTACATTAGCGATGGTGCGGCGACGCAAGTGGATCAATAGGTGCACAGCGCCAGATAATCAGTAGAAGAATCTCATGCTGCCATTACATCCGCTTGATGCACGAGCTGTTCTTCTGCCTCATCTCTCTACAGAGTCAGAAAAAGGATCAGTGACTGACTCCATTGTGCTCGAGTCAGCACGTCAGGTGGACGTCTGGAAACGGCTGAGCATGCTAACGTAGCAGAGAAAGATGATCGATGTGCGCTCTATTTGTGTTAGTCAGATCGCAGATCGCAGCCGCGTGCTTCAGCATGTAAGCAATTGTTACCCGTCTGGCCTCTTCTTTCCCATTTGCTCAACTGCCTCACCCCTCTACTTCTCCTTCATGCAAACGCCTTGCTCCACATCTTCTTTTCCTTGTCGAGCTGGCGGCGTAGACGTTCCTTTAGACGCTCGTCAAGCTTGGCGACGACACGGTCCTGCGGTGCTAGCGTCAGAGCGGCCTTGACGTCATCGGCTGCAAGCTCCAGCTTGTTTTCCTTTTCGTACGCCACAGCGCGGCGGTAGAGCGCTTTGACGCTCTTAGCATCGAGAGCCAACGCTTCGTTGCAGTTTCCCACGACTTTCGTGTAGTTCTCCATCTTGAGGTAGCACTGCGCGAGGTTCAGATACAAGCTCAGCTTGATCGCGTTCACCTCCTTCGTGTCGGACTCGGAGAGGTCAAAGAACTTGGACGCGTGGGCCAGGGCCTTCACGTACCGCGCAGCCGCGTGCTTGTGATTGCCGTCGCGGAAGAGCTCGTTGCCCTCCTCTTTGTTTTTAGTCACCATGCGCATGCGTTCGGGCTTTTTGAGCTTTCGCGTGTCGTGGTCTTCATCATCACCCTCGGCCTGGCGCTCCGCCTCAGCTTTTTGCGATTCTTGTTCGAGCTGGTGCTCCAGTGCACGCTCATCGGCCTCAACAGCAGAAAAGTAAGCCTCGCACGCAGTGCCCACCTCCGCCTCAATCGACTGGTGCTTCGCTCGAATAACGTCAAGCGTAGCAGTTTCGGCTTCCTCGGAGTAAATCCAATCCTCGGCTGCCTCTAGCAACGGGTTGAGCTTGGATGCGTCAAGCTTGTCTCCATGCTTGCCGCCGCTTTTCGAGCGCATCTCGTACACGAAAGACTCGATCGCATTGCGTTCGTGAGCAATGGCTATCAGCTCTGCATCACGAGTCTGGAACTCCTTTTCCAAAGCGATATACTGGGCAAGTACTGCAGCATCCTCGTCAGCTTCCACTACAGCCATCTCTTCTGCAGCGACCGCCTCGCTCGAAAAAGCCGCACCTAAAGCAATAGCAGTCGTCGAATCCAGCATACGACCGATCAGCGCACCATTACGCTGCTGTTCGATAGGGAATACTGACAGAATAGCTTCCTGTACAAACGGAATTCGAGTACCGCCACCCACGATCTCAACCGATGCGATGTCAGCGATGACAACGCTTTCCTTTGCAGCTTCTAATGCCTTCTGCAACAATTCCGCAATGCGTGTACGCTCAGCAGCACAAAGCTCCTCAAACACATTGCGACTCATCGAGATGCCGATGTCTGCTTCCGGCGCGAGATTCTCGACTGTCACGTTGGCGTCACCGATAGTAGACAGCAACTTCTTGATCTTGTCGCAGGCCTGAAACAGACGCTTGCCCTCTTTCGAGTGCAGCACCACACCCAGACCATGCTTCGCTCGCACCTCGTTCTGGAAATGCTCAAATAGTCGTCGGTCTAGCGTCTCAGCTCCCAGATCCAAATCGGCCTCTGTCGCCAACAGCGTCTCTCCCTCATGCGTTAGCTTCACTATCGCGACACTAGTGTTGGTGTGGCCCATATCAACAATTGCAATATAACGGGCAGTCTCTGCAGCCTCCATCACCACATCTCCGTCACTAGAGGAAGGACCAGACGGCGCGCTCGAAGCTTGCACTGGGTGTTTACAATGAAAGCAGCGTGCTAGCGCTGCATCACGCGATACGAGCGCCAGACTTGGGATACCGGCAATCGCAGCAGCCACACGGATCGCGCGTTTCTCCTCATCCCCCCACACCGATGGCACTGCCAGTGTCACATGGAACGGCTCGTCTCGCACACGTGTCTTGATTTGCGCCACCAAATTGGCAAGCAGCATGCCGGTAAGCTGCTCGGTAGTGAACTGCGTCTTGCTGCCGTCTTGTTTTCCATAGTCCACACTGGCCACTACGCGGCCTGCATCGTCTACCTCAAAAGTAGCGTGGAGACCAGGAAGACGCTCGATCTGGTGCTGCACGTCAGTCAATTGGCGCTTGCCCACGAGTCCAGACAAGAAGCCGATCGTGTTCCGCGGGTTTGTACTGGACGATAGAACGGCTGATTCGCCTACGAGACGCTCTTCGCCCTTGAAAGACACGAGCGATGCGGTGGTCATGGCCCCGAGCTCGTTGAGCACAACGTCGCCGTTGTTTTCAGCAACAACGCATCGCGTAGCGCCCTAATCAAAGTCCAGACGGAGACAAACACACATCATTGGAAACCGGTTGTCAATCAGACAATCAAAGAAGAAAAGAGAGAGAGAGAGAGAGAGGCAGAGAGAGGGAGTGAGCACACATGTCAAGCAGCACAGACTGGTCCGCACAATGCAACATGGTGTGACGTACAAAGTCAATGCCAAAGACACGAGGGGGTGACGTTGTCGCCATTGGAAAGCAGTAGCAGCAGATTGCAATGTGCGGATGAAAAGCACAGCGGCAAATGTCCATCAGCAGAGTGGATTTTATCCACTCGTTCAAAACCCTCTGCTGTTATGTGTCGCACATAACGATACGTGGTCCACTGAAGTCACAAACGACCATCACTCATGCAACGGCAAGTTCAAGTGGGTACAGTTCCTTCTCCCGCACGTCGCGCAGCCAGTTACTGCGTGTGGCTATTTGCCGCGTAGCCATTACCGAACAACGCGCCAGAGCGTGATGATGCCGGAGACAAGCGCCTCCACGACGTCTCAGCGTCTCGTGTCGCTGCTCGAAACTGTTGCAAACGGCGGCGCGACGGTCGAGGAGCTCGAGTACACGGCCGAGCTCCTTATTGCTACTTCAGAAGACAACAACGAACCAGCTGGTTCCGACCGAGAGACGCTCGTGGCGGCTCTGGTTGAGGTCCTGGAGGTCGTCGAGTTTCTCGAGACAGCGCAGTCATTGGCTGTTGCAGACGAAGCTGCGAGTGTTCTGCGAGGCGAGGCACGGAACAGTGACGGGGACCGGGAGAGTCACTCGAGCGAGGGAGTCCACTCGCGCACCAAGCAACTTGCGGCACAATATGCGATCGGAAAAGACTGTCTCGCGGTGCTGGAAGAGGACAATGCGTGGCATCCAGCGCGGATTCGGAAGCACATTCGTGCGAGTGACAGTGACTGGGATAGAGAGACCGAGAGTGGAGACGAGGAGCAACTGATGCAGCTGGAAGTGGAGTTTCTCGAGTTTGGCAAGAGGCAGATTGTCTGCGAGACGGACGTGGTGCTGGACGAGAACGTGGCAGATCGAGAGGAAGTGGGCGACAAGAACGGACTCTGTGCCATGTGCGAACGTCCGATGAACTTGACTGCTCATCATGTCATTCCACGGGTTACGCACGCAAAGTATTTGCGAAAAGGGTACACAAAAGAGTTCCTGAACACGTGCATTATGATCTGTCGTCAGTGTCATAGCAAGATCCACTCGGTCGAGGACAATGCGACGCTTGCACGCGAGTATCACACGCTCGAAAAGATCATGCAGCATCCACAGATCGTTGCGTGGGTTGCGTACGCACGGAAGCAAAAGGCTCGCATCAGGCCTCAGAAGCAAGCGAAGTGGTTGGGGAGGAGGTGAGCGTGCGGGACGCAGATGTGTATCAAGTACGAGCGCGACGCGTCTTTCTGCTCGTTGTATAGTCGTGTAATCTGACTACGAGGCTGTTGACGCACAAGACAAAAGAGCTCGGCATCTTGGGTGGGATACAGTACCGATCGTGTGCATGCCGTCGGCTGACGATAGAGAGCGTAGGAATGCCGTTTGCGATGTCAACAAGCAGTGCTAACGCCGTTGTAAGGCGGTGTAGAGGCTGGTAGACTAGCGCAACCGCGTGAGTCGCATGCAAGCTAATCGAACGCACGACGTGGCGCTGTAAGGTGTACCTGCGCGAGGGCTACCGCTACTCGGATGGTACTGCGTTCCAATTATGTCAATGGGCGACACAAAAAGCGACTAGCGATACGGTGGCAGCAGCACCAAAGATGAGCCACCCAATCATCGGGCCGGTCATTGCGCGGATGTAGCAAGTTTGACGAAAACACACTGTTCGAATGATCAAATTGACGTTAGTACACATGTCCATACGAAACTTTTATTTGCACAAACTATTTACGAATATGACCTCTGGAAACAGCATGATGCGTAGCTTGGGACACGCTACTCATTAGTTGAATAGGCCACGATGCATCCGACCACCACTCTGTTGGAATAGGTTAGGACAGGCGGTGGATGTAATTGGACTTTCCAGAAAGGTCTAGCGGCGTAGTGGAACAGCTGTCAGATTTCGGCGTGGATGTATGGGCAACGGTTGCACGCAGTAACGAAATCCAAGTAGAGGCGGAGAAGAAGGCAGTGTGGAAAGCATGGCTAGGAGCAAGTAGAAGTTACAGCAGATGTGTAACGGGGCAGCTCGTTACAGGAAGTGTCACTTTAAAAGAAAGTGACAACAAAGAATATTAAGTGAGTATTCTTTGAACAATATCACCGATAATGGTGATATTGGTGAAGCGACCAAAGGGTCTGCTCATTGGTTGATATCGTGATGATATCAACCCACCAATAGCCGCAGGACGCGCGCAATGAGTGGTGACGAGACGTCACCATACACTCAGTTATATTAGCATAATTAAGTTGAGTCAAACAGAGAGACACTAGCAAAAAGACTTAATTATATTAATATAACAGTTTTACTTTCTCTTTATCCTACGCTTCCTCGTTCGCCTCGTGTACGTCTGTCGGGGCACCCGAAACCCTTGCGTTAAGTTCACGCAAGGGTGTGCCCCGTTACACCTGGTAGCACTTTGTAGTCCTTCCAAGGACCACAACATCCAACATGAACATGTTGGATGATGAAGAGACCTTTCACGCCACGCGTGAAGGGTTTACCCATTCGAGTGACATCGAATGGGTGCGGTAGAACGAATGAGTTCTACCGTAGGCGAGTTCGCCATTAGCGCCATGTTGGAGTCTCTAGACAGAGACCAACAACATGCCGCTATAGCCAAGTTCATCAAACGTGAACTTGTCGCCGAAAGGGAGAAAGTAGCCTTGCTTCACCAGCAAGGCTCTTAACAGGCCGAGCAGTTGAGAGAACTCGGTGCTCAACAGACAGAGCTGTTGAGACAGCAGCAATTCCATGCTGCTGTGGGCGGGACGGCACATGCGCGTCTTCCCGAGGTCATGAAGTTTGGCATCTCCAAGTACAGTGGAGTCCCGGAGGACTCCCTGTTACTGTGGTTTGTCGAACTCGACAGAGCCTTAAGGGCTCGTCGCGTCGAAGATGAGCAAATGAAACTCACATTTGCTCAGACCCACTTGGCAGGGCGTGCCAAAACTTGGTCCCTGGGACTCGAGAGTAGCGACCCAAATGTGTTTAGGTCGCTAGATGACTTCAAGTCCCGGCTCAGACAAACGTTTGAGCCGCCACGAGCTGAGTTCTGGGCTCGCTCAGAGCTCCTGAATTCAAGCAGGGTAAGCGTGATGTGCACGCTTACGCACAACATATACGACTCCTAGCGAGTAGTATAACTGCTAACCCAGTTCCTGAACACACGTCGATTACGGTGTTCTTGCAAGGGCTCGCAGAAGGGCCCGTCAGGAGCCACCTGTTCCGCCTTGAGCTGAATACGCTTGAAGAAGCGATATCAGCCGCGGAACAGGAAGACTTTAGCATGATACAGGCTCATGCTAGCTCAAACTCTTACCGTCCACCAAGACGACAAGAGATCGAAGGTCCAGAACCAATGGACCTCTGCTATGTTGAGAGCGAGAGACCTCGCTCTTCAAACAACAAGCGATCGCAGAGGTGCAATCGCTTTCAGAAGTTAGGGCAATTCGCATACGAGTGTAGTGCTCCACGCCCAGTACCAAACAGTACTGAGCGAAATGGACGACCATTTGCCAGAAAGGGCAATGGGCGTGGGTCCAGCGCTGTTGCGAAGCCGCAACAGCGAGACGGACCATCAAAAAATGGTCGGGGTCAGTAGGGGCGGAGCGCCCTACTGATCCAGCAACCTCAAGAGAATTTGCAAATCTCTTGACGAAAGTTGCTCCAGATACACAATCATTGTGTGTCTCTGCACCTGGTGATGACGTTTCGCTCATCACCTTGAAGCTGGAAGCGACAAATGATTTGTCGCTTCGTGCCCTAGTAGACTGTGGGGCGTCGAACAACTTTGTTCGACGCCAGTCACTAGAGGGTCGTAGGCTCAAGTTCGTTGAGCGCGACATTCCCCTCACAAGGATGACGGTGCGCCTTGCAACAGGCGCATCGATTACCGTTAAGAAACGTGTAGTAGAAGTCCACTACACGTTGAAGGGCGAACAGTACGATGATGACTTCATCGTACTAGATCTGGATGACAAATTTGATGTCATCCTGGGATTACCTTGGCTCAGAAAGTACGAGCCAAGGGTGAGCTGGAAGCATCGATCCGTGAAGATGCCTGCCACTTGTTCATCAGATGGCCATCTGATGAACATCTTGGAGCGTCCACAAGCGTGTGGATGTTCTGCGAGTGAGTGCGATGGCCTCACTTGCGGTTCGGTCGTTAGCACGACTGCACAAGATCACAGTGTAGTTGATCACTACACTGTGGAGCAAGCTCCCGGCGGCTGTACAGAAGTACAGGCTGCGCCGAAGGTCCACCACTCGAATAAGTCGAGTGGACCGGGACATGGATGCATGCCTAGCGGGCAGCATCTTAGAAGTGAGAAACCTGTTGCCTTCAAAGGGCAACATGGAAATCCTAGGTCGACTGGAGAGTCGACCGTAGAGGATCGGTCCCTGACTGTGGTTGCACAGCCACAGTCAGAAGACGTCGAGGGAATAAGTCCCCACGTACTTGAGGAAGGAATTCCTCAAGAGTCACTTGCTGAGGGATCAGGCCTTCAGCAACCTGTGGAAAGAAGTTCCCAGGAAGTAACCGAGACGTTCAACGTCTCGGTTAATGACGGATCAAGCGTGGGCGCTTATACGCTTGACCTGATTGTGCGTCCGAAGTTAACTTCGGAGATAACTCAGTTGCCAGCGCTAGAACCGAAACGGTTCTTGCGTGATCTGCGTAGTGGCAAAGTCAAGCAGATCTGCATACTCGTCCCAGAGGATGAGTATGTGGCCGATATTCGGTCGGCCACAGTATTTGCTGAGAACGAACGGGTTCTCAGCAGCTCATCGATGGACGAAAGTGTCCTCGATGAGAAGACTCGGATTGAGCGATACGCGTCCCAATCCTGGGAGTCGCTTCAGGCAAATCCTTTGTATAAGGATTTGATCGAATTCAGGGATGTGTTCCCTGAATCAGTACCTTGCGAGTTGCCTGAGGACAAAGGCACTCGACACGAGATCGAGCTCAAACCGGGCTCGAAGTACTGTGTCATGAAGCAGTGGCCACTGCCTCGTGAACAAGTACTAGCAATCGACAAGTTCTTTGCCGATCGCTTAGAAGCGGGCCATGTGAGGAAATCAACATCCCCTCACAGCTCTCCGACCTTCTGTGTGCGAAAGGCCACAGGAGAGTGGCGGATAGTGCACGCATTCAACAAATTGAATGCTGCAACGGTACCGGCTCAGACGCCGATACCGAGGAAGGACGTAATCATAGATGGTATGTCAAAGAGTACCATCTTTTCGTCCATGGATCTGATGGATGGGTTCTATCAGATCCTCATGCGTGAACGGGACATCCCGTTCACGGCAGTGAGTACCCTCAGCGGGATGCTGTGGGAGTGGCTAGTTATGCCACAGGGGATGAGCAATGCCCCTGCAACATTCAACAGATGTGTCACAAATCTGTTGAGACCGGTGAGAGACTTCTCACCGAGTTACTTCGACAATGTGTTCGTCCATAGCCGGGCTATGGACGGAAAGACGGACGTTGAAGTTCACAGAACTCACGTTCGTCAGGTTCTTCAACTTATGCGCAAGCATAAGTTGTACGCCAACCTCAAGAAGTGTATATTCGCGGCTAACGAAATACCACTTCTTGGGTGCATCGTGGGTAAACATGGCGTACGCCCTGATCCCAAAAAGATCGAGGCGATCACCGACTGGCCAGTGCCAGTCGATGTCAAGGGACTGAGGAAATTCCTTGGTCTAGCGGCGTACTTGCACAAGTCCTCGCAACTATGCCGAGATGACTGTTCATCTTTCTTGATTGCTCAAGAAAAATGTCAAGTGGTCATGGAACGATGAGTGCCAGCGTTCCTTTGAGGGTATCAAGCAAAGCTTTATGCAATCGCCGATCTTGGCAATTGCAGATCAGGACAGACCATTTCATGTGGTATGTGACGCCATCGATTTTGCAATCGGCTGTGCGTTTATGCAGTTCGATGCAGATGGCGCGGAGCGCGTCATCTGTTATCAGTCGCGTCAGCTGCAAGAAGCTGAGCGTAATTACCCAGTGCATGACAAGGAGCTCCTTGCCATGAAGTACGCACTGGCTAAGTTTCGCGTCTATCTCTTGGGAGATAGACCGTTTGCTGTCTATACGGACCATGCGTCATTACGCACGGCCGAAACAGCCCACACCTCTCGCAAAGAAATGGCGAGGTGACTGTCTTTCTTCGCGGAGTACTAC